CGTACACGTACTGAGTGATAAAGCTTCACCAAGCTGGCTTAGAGGTCCTTTTTTGAATCAGGAGCAGTATCGCCTCCTGTGCAACAGGCTGCAGGAGCATTCTCTAAAACAAAACAACGAAGTACGCAGAAAAGAGAAGACTATGGAGTGATATGCTGTAAAACAAAAGAACGCTGTTGGCTTTGCAGAAGATAACTGATGACAAACGTAAAAATAAAAAGCAAGAATTGATAGATTACAATTGGTACTGCGTTGCTACAACAAAAATTCTGCGGTTGTTGGTTGGAAACAGTGTATAGTGTTCATTACACTAAACTCAAGGTGAGAATTTTAGGCTCTATATAAAATTTGAACAAAAAAAAAACCAATTGAAGACTATCATGGACAAAGAAGAAAAATTTTTACCAGTTTCAGTATTGTTCTCATTTACAGCTGAAGGCGGAGGCTTGGCTGGGCAAGTCGGATATAGGTAAGGATCTAGAAACGTCACCCATCGCTCAGGAAGAATTCTAAACATATTCTTGTTAAAAGCCAATGATATGATGGAAGATTGCTCTCTATGTGGCTGATATTAAAAAATGCAGAAACGTTAACTAAGAACTGTAGAGATTCAGCGTAGACAATAATATGACATGATAAGTCACACAAAAAAGTGAAGAGGTGCGACCGGTGATTTGGTGCAGTTTAGGAAATAAGCTCAAAAGTGCAATCAAAGAAAAAGTGGAGGGAAAAATGGACAAATCTTCAGAATGAAGACGTCTTTAACTACTAAAATGAACAGATTCAGACGTGTTCAATAGTATTCAAAAAGAAGTTGACTGCTGACGACAGCCAAAAAAACAAAATTTGAACCGTACTGTATCTTACATGAGGATCACGTCATCTAATTTTTAGCTGGATGTTACATCGTAGACAAATCATGGTCTCTTTTTCAAATGAACATACCGTATGGCACTTTCTTCTTTAAACTGAAGCCAATTTGCTTGCTGTATTACAAGTGCTTTACTATACAAATAACGTAATTGCATCTTATTAGTTTAGAAAAAAGAAATGTATGGCGGCGCAGCAGTAGGAGCAAAATTTGTCGTCAACCTTTGGGATAGCCTCCAGACGGCTACAGCATTGCCACTACCTATGCTGCGCGGATATTAAATTTTTTGCTTTCACTGATGCCTAATATGCAATGACGTTGTTTGTGTAATAAAGCATTTATGATAGCATGATATAGCAAATCAAAATCAGT